CGGTCTGTTCTCCCCAGCACGGGCTGAGTGGCTCCGAGGCTCTGGTTTCCCAAGCGTCTTCTCGCCCGTTGCGTCTGCTGAGCCTGCAATATCCCGGGAGGCAGGTGAGGGTGGGGACACCCCACCCCCGGGCAGAGCCCCGGTCGGGGGGGGGGGCCCAGGGAGGGCCCCGGGAACAGCTGTCAGGGGGGATCCGGGTGAAGCCGTCGGGGCCACCAAGGGAGGCCACCAAGGGAGGCCACCAAGGGAGGCCACCAAGGGAGGCCACGAAGGGCTTTGGCAACCTGCCCGCAGGAGCTCAGGTGGCTCCCGGAGGCGTGGCTGGGCGTGGCCTGGCGTGGCTCTGAGTGGCTGAGTGTGGCCCGGCGTGGCTGTGCGTGGCTGTGAGTGGCTGGGCGTGGCCGTGCGTGGCTGGGCGTGGCCGTGCGTGGTGGTGCATGGCGGGCACCCCCTGCGTGTCCACGGGGCCACGGGGCGCCGTGCATTCCTGTTGTGGTTTGAGCCTGATACGGCGGCGGCGCCCGGTTGTTACAGGTCAGAACCGTGTGTCCTGAGGGTTCGAGGACAAAGAGCGTCTCGCGCAGCGTGCATTTGCCAAATCAGTCCCAGCAGCCTTGGGAGGCGTGGGGCGGAAAGGGCAGGGGAGGCCGTGGAAGGCGCGTGGAGGCCTCGGAGGGCCGGGCCTGGGAGCAGAGTGAGCTGGAGCACCGGAGGGAGAGGCCCCCGGGGCAGAAGGCAGGACACGCCCGGCCGGCCACGCACTGCGACACTGTCGACACTCACGGGCGTCGGCGACGGAACCCGTAAGTCCGTTCCAGGCACTCAGAGCTCACGGAGGGACCCTCGGCCGCCTGGGACGGGACAGCAAACGGCCACAGGCAGGGGCTTCACGCAACAGAGACGTCTTCTCGCACAGTCCCGGAGCAGAGCCCGCAGCTGCGTCGTGGCAGGCAGGGCCACGCGTGTCCTTCCTCCCTCTCCCAGCCCGGCGTGGCCACGGCCGCCTGGTGCCCCGTTGTGTCTGCCCCGGCCACCCCAGCCTCTGCCGTCCCACGGTGTCTGCGTGTCTGTCCCGGGTCTGCGTCCCACATTCCTGTCGCTCGCGATGCCCGTCCCTGGGCCAGGCCCACGCTAGTCGGGCACGGCCTCACCGTGGCTTGGCCACGCCTGCACGGACCTCACTTGGAGGTCCCTTTCTCGGGTTCCAGGGGCAGGACGAGAACACACACGTGCCGGGGGCTGCAGCCCGCCCACAGCAGCCCATCTCCCCGCGGTCTGTGCGGGCGGCGCCGGTTTTCCTGGCGCCGTGGCAGCACCCCTGCAGTGCCGGCAGGGGGTGGGCGGCCGAGGGACGGCCACACCTGCCCGACAGGTCTGTCGCCAGCAAGCTCCCTGCCCGGGAGGGGCCTGCAATCTCCACGGGGAGGAGAGTGACCCCATCCTGGCGCCGGGCAGGGGAGGGGCTCCCAGATTCCTGCGGGCCGTGACCCTGGCCCAGAGACCAGTGACGGCCACGCGTGGGGTCACCATCCCCGCTTTGCCGAGGGGACACTGGTCCAGGCACGCCGCTGTGGCCGACCACCCACTCCCTGGGACGCGCAGAGCCGGGGGCTGGGCGCGGGGGGCAGCTGCTGCTGAATTTCCCAACCGCTGTCATCCATGCTGCTGTGGCCACCCACGTGGGCCCGTGCCGCTTGCCCCTGACATCTGCCGTGACCCCGGCCGGGTCTTGACTCCACAGATAAGGGCCCAGGAGCGGACCTGCCCCCTCAGGCTGGACTCCCGGCCTCGGGCCCTCGGCTGTGTGTGCAGGCGGTTCGCACTCGGGCCGCCGTGTCCTGGGCGCTGGGCACCTGTGCCCGGCGGGAAGCGGCACCAGGCTGTGGGGGAGGGGCGGTTGAGGTCACAGCACTGGCCGGTGACAACTCCCAGGCCACAACAAAACCCACACCCGGGACACAGTGTCCCGTCAGGAGGTGGCTTCTCAGTGGGACCGGTTCCATGTGACCCTCACCCAGCAGGGACCAACCCTGCCCCTCGGATGGTGACCTGGAGGAGCGGCGTGGACTGGACCCCCCTGGGGCCGAGCTGCATTTAGCACGCTGGTCCTGCAGCCCCCGGCGGCCCCTCCAGCTGAGGCTGTGGCTTCAGGCCACTCCCCTCCCTGGGGCCCGGCCGCCACCTGTGAAAGGGGGTCTCGTGCACCCCAGTGACCACCCTGGCCTGGGCGGCACAGTTGTGGGTCTTGGCCGCGTGGTCCAGCCGCCGGAGCGGTGAGCAGCCTGCGTGGCCTGGCGACCACACGCTGTCCTGTCCGCGATGGGCTCACCTGCCTCAGTAGGACGACCACCAGGCCACAGGACAAAGTAGCTGCTTTCATTGTTTTGTAGCAATTACAGCAAAACAAGCTACATTCTAAAAAGAGACTCAGTCTGCGGCGTGGCAGGTAGCCGGTTGCACCTGCGACTCCATCTGCAGAGCTGAGATACTCCGTGTCCACCGCGCAGGGGCAAGGTGGGGAGGCCCCGTCCTGACCAGGACTTCACAGCCCGACCCAGGGCCCGGAGAAGTGGGTGGGTGGCCTCCCGGTGCCCCCAGCTCTCGGTCCACACAGCCACGGCTGCTGCTCCCAGCCTTGGCATCGGGGCGGGACTGCCTGGCCCACCTGGCCAGGTGGCCTTATCTGCAGGACTCCGGGAGACAGACTTGGGTCACCTGCCCTGTGGTTTGCTGTCAGCAATAAGGGGAAGCTCCCAATCAGCCGTGGGCCTGAGGGAACGCCTCCCTCCCATGGGGTTGCGACAGCTCCGCCCAGGTGTGTTGACACAGGAGGACAGGACCACACCTTCCGGTTCTGGGACAGCTCACACCCCTGGGTCCCCCAGGCCACACCCCCACCGCCCGGGACCCCTGGCCAGCCCTGTGCCCTGTGTGAGTGTGTGAGTATGTGTGTGTTAGTGTGAGGGTGTGAGTGATCATGCATGTTAGCATGAACATATGAGCATGTGATTGTGTGAGTGATCATATGTGTGTGTTTTAGTGTGAGAGTGTGAGCACAAGTGAGTGATCATGTGGTTAGCATGAACATATGAGCATGTGATTATGTGAGTGATCATATGTGTGAGTATGTGTGTTAGTGTGTGTGATTGTGTGTGTGAGTGCAAGTGAGTGATCATGAATGTGTTAGTGTGAGTGTGACTGTGTGTGTGTTAGTGTGAGCATGTGAGTGTGAGTTGGCGTGAGTGTGAGTTGGCATAAGTCTGTGTGTGTGTTAGTGTGAGCGTGTGTGTTAGCATGAGCATGTGAGCATGTGTTAGTGTGTGTTAGTGTGAGCATGTATGTGTGAGTGTGAGTGTGAGTATATGTTAGTGTAAGTGAGCATGTGAGTGTGACTGTGTGTTAGTGTGTGTGCTGGTGTGAGTGTGTGTTAGCATGAGCATGTGAGCGTGTGTTAGTGTAAGTGTATGTTAGTATGAGTGTGTGTGTTAGTGTGAGTGAGCATGTGAGTGTGTGACTGTGTGTTAGTGTGTGTGTTGGTGTGAGTGTGTGTTAGCATGAGCATGTGAGCGTGTGTTAGTGTAAGTGTATGTTAGTGTGAGTGTGTGTGTTAGTGTGAGTGAGCATGTGAGTGTGTGACTGTGTGTTAGTGTGTGTTAGTGTGAGTGTGTGAGTTAGCGTGAGTGTGTGTGTTAGCATGAGTGTGTGAGCGTGTGTTAGTGTGAGTGTATGTTAGTGTGTATGTGTTAGTGTGAGTGAGCATGTGAGTGTGTGTTAGTGTATGTGTTAGTGTGAGTGAGCATGTGTGTGTTAGTGTATGTGTTAGTGTGAGTGAGCATGTGAGTGTGTGTGTTAGTGTATGTGTTAGTGTGAGTGAGCATGTGAGTGTGTGTTAGTGTATGTGTTAGCGTGAGCATGTGAGCGTGTAGTGTTAGTGTGTATGTGTTAGTGTGAGTGAGCATGTGAGTGTGTGTGTGTTAGTGTGAGCATGTGAGCGTGTGTGTTAGTGTTAGCGTGTGAGTGTAGGTGCTAGTGTGGGCCTGTGAGTGTGTGTTAGCGTGAGCATGTGAGTGTGAGTGTGTGTTAGCGTGTGTGTTAGTGTGAGTGTCAGTATGTGTTAGTGTGAGTGAGCATGTAGTGTGAGTGTGTGTTAGCGTGTGTGTTAGTGTGAGTATGTGTTAGTGTGAGTGAGCATGTGAGTGTGACTGTGTGTGAGGGTGTGTGTTAGTGTGAGCATGTGTGTTAGTGTGAGTGTGAGCATGTGTTAGTGTGAGTGAGCATGTGAGTGTGTGTGTTAGTGTGAGCATGTGAGCGTGTGTGTTAGTGTGAGCATGTGAGCGTGTGTGTTAGTGTTAGCGTGTGAGTGTAGGTGCCAGTGTGGGCCTGTGAGTGTGTGTTAGCGTGAGCATGTGAGTGTGAGTGTGTGTTAGCGTGTGTGTTAGTGTGTGAGTATGTGTTAGTGTGAGTGAGCATGTGAGTGTGTTAGCGTGTGTGTTAGTGCGTGAGTATGCGTTAGTGTGAGTGAGCATGTGAGTGTGTGTTAGTGTGAGCGTGTGTGTTAGTGTTAGCGTGTGAGTGTAGGTGCTAGTGTGGGCGTGTGAGTGTGTGACCCTCTACACGCAGTGCCGTGTATCTGCTACACTGAGCCTCCCATCGGCTAAGCCGGGGCGGCAACTGCAGCCCAAGGACCAAATTCACCCCCCCTCTTTATAAGTAAGGTTTTGTTGGCGCCCAGCCAGGCCCGGGTAGCGCCTGCAAACCCGTCAGGGCCGAGCAGCGCCCGCACACGGCATGGCCCGCCAGCCTGCAGCGCTCGCTCTCTGACCCCTCAAGCAAAGCTGCCCGGACCCGGTGCTGAGCGTGGCCCCGGGAGCGGGCGGGGAGGGGCTGGAGCACCGGCCTTTCCCCGCCCGGAACCCCAAGCCGCCCCCTGCCCAGGGTTCAACACCCCTGCCGCTGGCCCTGACCCGTGGGGAAGGTGCCAATAAAAGGGTCAAGTGGCAGCCAGAGGTGCAGGCGCAGCAGGAGCCCAACGCCAGTCCCGCCTCTGCGCTGCGTCCGCCGGCCGGGAAATGCTCCAGGCTCCGGCCAAGGCCAGTGCGGCCCTGGTGCCCCGAGTGGCAGGCTGGGCGCGGACCATGGCCTCCCACCGGCTGCTGGTGGACGCCCCGCAGGCCCTGCTCAAGCCCCTGTCTGTCCCCCAGCAGCTTCTGCTGGGGCCCGGCCCCTCTAACCTGGCTCCGCGCGTCATGGTGGCCGGCGGCCTGCCGATGATCGGGCACATGCACAAGGAGATGTTCCAGGTAGGCCGGGCGGTCCCTGAGCCCGAGAGGGGTGGTAGCCGGTCCTGGAGCCGGCCCCTCGCCCAGGGGAGGGCAGGGGGCTGGTCTGACTGTGCGTCCCCCCGCCCCCCAGATCATGGAGGAGATCAAGGAAGGCATCAAGTATGTGTTCCAGACCAGGAACCCCCTCACGCTGGCCATCAGCGGCTCGGGCCACTGCGCCCTGGAGGCCGCCCTGGTCAACCTCCTGGAGCCCGGGGACTCCTTCCTGGTCGGGGTCAACGGCATATGGGGGCAGCGAGCTGCGGAAATTGGGGAGCGCATCGGTAATAGGGGTGTCCCTGGCTCCCTCTGCCCCAAACACCGGCCTGGGCCCGGCCCTGGGTGAACGCTCACTCCCTGCGCGGGGCTTCGAGCAGCCAGCCCCGCTAGCTGCTGCCGCCCGCGGCCGTGCCCCCGTCCCCAGTGTCCGGAGTGTGGGAGAGCTGGCCCCGGAGCACGTGCAGGGAAGCCCTGGCCTGAGTGCAAAGCCCAAGGCCCCGCCGAGCCTGCAGGCATCACCTCTGCTCCCTGACACGATGGGGTTTCAGCGGCTGAACCCTGCCCCCCAATCTCAGAAGCAGCCTTCCTTCTGGAGCCTTGGGGGAGGGGGGCACAAAACATGGGGTACCCGCAGAGTTTGCAGCTCCAGAGTGAAATTTCCTAAGGGAGACGCGAGTCGAGAGCGAGAGTCTGCCCTGGGTTTAATGATTGACTGAGCCGTTGGGACATCTGCTCGGTCAGGTCAGCTCCTCCGCGGCCGGGCTGGTTAATGGACAGCCCCGAGGCCCGGGGGTCCCAACCCTCACCTGGCCACGCTCGGTCCACACGCTGTGTTCCAGGTGAGCCGGGGAGGGGGCCTCGGCCAGGACCCCAAGTGGACGCTGGGCGCACAGGCTCCCATGTCCCCGTGTGTGGCCTGGGCAAGCCCCACCCCGTCCTGCCCCCACACCGCAGCCCGGCCCTCAGGCTCCTCCCTCCCCAGCCTCCAGGGGGGCAGGTGCAGGACCCCACCGAGGACAGGGCCTGCTAAGCTCCCACTCACCCCTTCCTTCCTTCATTCAGGCATTTGCCAAGCGTGGGCTTTCTGTGTGCCGGCCATGGGCCAGGAGCCGACCCCCAAAGGCCACCCCGTCCCTTGGTCCCCTGCACCCCCGGGCGCTTGTGCACACGCTTGCTTATGGCCTTGTGCAGAGTGCTGCTTCGGAGCCAGGACGGCCTCAGCCTGGCGGGGCCCAGGGAAGGCGGCCTGAGGAAGGGACGTTTGAGTTGGGTCTGAGGCCACCGTCATCTAGAGCCCCCAGAAGCCTCGGTTCCAGCAGCCCGGGGGGCTGGGATGGCCCTCGCTGAGCAGAGCCCCCTCCTCTCCGGGTCCTGCCCTTGCAGGCCCCTCGCCCCAGCACTGGCTCTTGCAGCTGCTCACTGCCCGCTCTGCCCCTCCCCCCAGGAGCCCGCGTGCACCCGATGACCAAGGACCCTGGGGGCCACTACACGCTGCAGGAGGTGGAGGAGGTGCGGGGCGTGCTGGCCGGGGAGGGTGGAGGTGGCCGGCCAGCGGGGTGGGGTCATGGCCGGGAAGCTGGGCCCCTGTCTGGCCTCAGCCCATCCTGGCATCTGGTGACCAGCCACAAGCATAGTCCAGAACCTGGGACCAGGTGGGTAGACAGTAGGAAGGCTTCTGTCTGGCAGGGAAACTGAGTCAGAGCCACATGGAGGGGCTGGAGGCAGGAGGCTGGAGTCAGAGGTGCAGGATGGGTCCCTGACACTCAGGGCGCCAACCCCTCCCTGATGGGTGACGTCAGTCCCACCCTGCCCAGATTAGGGGGACCCAGTGGCCCTCAGAGGGTGGGAAGGAGGCCGGGGCCTCCTCCTCGCCTCTGGGCAAAGTCCCCTCCTTGGAAAGTGCCCTTCCCCCAGAGCCCAGATGCCCCGGCCCCTCCCCCAGCACACACTGATGGGGTGGGGTGTGGGGCAGTGTTTATAGGGGTCCTGGCCCTGCCCCCACCAGCCAAGTCCCCCTGGGAGGGCGGCTGCCCGACAGCCCTGCTACAGCCGCACTGCCCGCAGGGCCTGGCCCAGCACAAGCCCGCACTGCTGTTCTTGACCCACGGGGAGTCGTCCACCGGAGTGCTGCAGCCCCTCGACGGCTACGGGGACCTCTGCCACAGGTGAGCTGCCCCACAGGTGACCAGTCTCCACAGGTGAGCTGCCCCCATAGGTGAGCTGCCCCACAGGTGACCAGTCTCCACAGGTGAGCTGCCCCCATAGGTGAGCTGGTCCCCCAGGTAAACCAGTCTCCATAGGTGAGCTGCCCCTACAGGTGAGTTCCCCCCATAGGTAAGCTGCCCCTACAGGTGAGCTGACCCCACAGGTGAGCCAGTCTCTACAAGTGAGCTGCCCTACGGGTGAGCTGCCCCCACAGATGAGCTGCCCCCATAGGTGAGCTGCCCTACAGGTGAGCTGCCCCCACAGGTGAGCCAGTCTCCACAGGTGAGCTGTCCCCATAGGTGAGCTGCCCCCACAGGTGAGCTGCCCCCATAGGTGAGCCAATCTCCACAGACGAGCTGCCCCCGTCTCTGAGAGGTGGCAGGTGAGGCCCCGCTGCCCCTCCCCTGGCAGGGTGCAGGCCCCTCTCAGGTCCTCCTTGCTCTGGGCTGTCTAGGTGGGCACCTCCCACTAAGGATGACCCCAGGGACAGGGCGGCTCAGGTGCTCCCCGGCGAGCGCCCCAGTGCCCTGCCCTCCCTGTGCTGAGGCCCAGGTCTCCAGGGCCCCAGAGCTGCCCCTGCTGCACCCTCCAGCCTCCCCGCCTCACATGGGTGCACATGGCGGGCCCTGAGTGGCAGAGATGGGACCCCCAGGGAACTGGGGACAGAGCCCCTGGCGACCCAGCAGCCATGTCCTGACCACAGCACAGAGGGGAAGCTCTCCCCAGCCAGGGGGGGTCACTCTGGCAGGGGACGCCCCGCCACCCCCGGCGACCTGCCACACAGACCCGGCCCGCGAGTGAAGCCCACAGACATGACCTGTGCCGACCTCACCCGGACCCTGACCGTCCCGCCGTGGCCAGCACGAGATGCTTCTTGTGCCTTTCGTCACAAGGGGACGCGGAGATGCAGGAGGGTGGCAGCGTTCGGTGCTGCTGCCTGGCCGTTTCTGGACTCTGTGCTCCCGGGTCCGGACTCCCTGCCGCCAGCTGGTGCCCACCCAGGCCCTGGCGCCCAGCCGGCCCCAGGACCACAGACTGCCCAGCTGGCCTCGCACCTGCCCGCAGCGCCCTCTGCTTGGACACGGGCAGGGCAGGGCCCGGGGCCTGGCGGGTCTAGACAGGGTCGGGAGAAAGCCACACCCCCTCCTCACTCACCCCCACCCCACTGTCCTCTGCCCGCCCCTCCCCCAGGTACCAGTGCCTGCTGCTGGTGGACTCGGTGGCGTCCCTGGGCGGGGCCCCGCTCTACATGGACCAGCAAGGTGAGCTGCGCCCCACAGCCCCACCAGCCACCGCCGCCCCAGCTGCCACCATTCCCAGGGGAGCCTTAGCCCACCAGCCGTGGGACGGGGACGGGGTCAGGCTCCCACTGCTGGCGGGACCCTGCCCTGGGGGTGCTCCTGGTCCTGAGCGTGCACACCCTGGCCACAGGCATCGATGTCTTGTACACCGGATCCCAGAAGGTCCTGAACGCCCCACCAGGGACCGCGCCCATCTCCTTCAGTGACAGGGCCAGGTGAGCCCCCAGCCCTGGCTGACGGGAATTGCGGCCCAGGGAGGGAGGGGCCGGCGGGGAGCGGGCCGGGCATTCTGGGAGTCCCCCAGCTTCATGCCCAGGGGCGACCCAGCAAGGACCGGGGCCCAGGGCGCAGCCCCCACGAACCCGACGTTGGGCCAGCTCTTATCCCTGCTGTCCAGACCCTGATCCTGGCGGGACGGGGTGGAGGGGTGGGGGACAGGCCTCCGCAGGCACCTCCCGTCCAGCCGCAAACAGGTGACTGGTGGTGCCACCCACCAGAACAGAGAGGATTTCGGGGTGAATTCTGGAACCCCATGTTGGATGCAGGGAATCTGAAGTTGGACCACAAGGGAGGGCGGAGGAGGGGCGGGTCTGAATCTGGAGCTCGGGGAGACGCCTGGGCGGGACATGTCAATCTGGAGTTACTGAGAATAGATGCACTGAACCTTCCAGCTGCCCTGCCTCCCCTGGGGCCTGGGGAAAGAGAGGGCCAGGTCCCTGACTGAGCCCAGGCCCACCAGGGAGAGGGGGTGGAGAGATTCTCAGGAAGGGAAGGAGCTGGGCAGGAGCAGGGCAGGAGAGGTGGGGGAGGGGACAGGTAGGGCAGGAGAGGTGGGGGAGGGGACAGGTAGGGCAGGAGAGATGGGGGAGAGGACAGATAGGGCAGCAGGTGGGGAGAGGAGAGGTGGACGAGGGGACAAGTAGGGCAGGAGAGGTGGGGGAGGGGACAGGTAGGGCAGGAGAGATGGGGGAGAGGACAGGTAGGGCAGTGGGGGAGAGGGGAGAGGTGGGGCAGCAGAGGGGTCCCCAACCTTGGAAAACTGTGAGCGGGCCTGGGTGCTGCTGGGAGCCCCTTGATCTCACCCCAGCTTCGCAGCTGGGTGCAGCAATCTTCAGGAGAGGTGAGGCCTCAGCTCTAGGCCCTGAGCCTCAGTTTCCCCTCGGTTGTTTTGATGGGCTGGAGTTGCCATCACAGCAGGCCGTCCTGTCTTTAAGAGAGTGGCCACCTTTGGGTGGCCTGAGGAATGAGGCTGCCAGCCCTGTGGCGGAGACCCCCCCAGTGGGGAGCGGCCGGGGGCCCCACACAGCAGGGCCACCCCATGGGGCGGAGGTGCAGCCCCCCAGGGCAGCCCGAGGACCTGCGACCCACCTGCCCCCGTACTGGCCGCTGAGCCAGACACTGAGCCAGGGGTGGCGGGGTCCCTCGGGGAGAGGACACCTCTGAGTCTCCGGCTTCAGCCCCCGCGGAGGGGCGGGGCTCAGGCCAGTTCTTCCTCCTCAGGAACAAGGTCTACACTCGGAAGACCAAGCCCTTCTCCTTCTACCTGGACCTCAAGTGGCTGGCCAACATCTGGGGCTGTGACGGCAATCCCAGGGTGTAAGGGCCAGGCGGGGCGTGGGGACAGCCTCTTCCTGCACCCCCAGCTGCTCAGGCCTGCACATGGGGCCCGGGGTCCCCTTCCTGCCCCTGCACCCCACTAGAGCCCTGGAGCCACCTGTGCCAGGCGACCAAGAGCCCCACCCTGTCCCCCCACCCCCCATTCCCGCCTGGCCTGGAAGCTCAGGTCAGGGGTACAGCCCCCACCGCACCTTCCACAAACCCCATCCTCCTCGGGCACTGGGACCTGGTCCTGCCTCAACGTCCTGTCGCTGGGCCTCAGTTTACCCCTCTCTCAAAGGCGACGGTGAGCCAGGGGCTCTCTGGGGTGACCTTGGCCATAAACCCAATGCCCGTTATGTTACACGTGGGGACAAGGCACCCGGCATTGTGCCCTAGCCCGGGGACACAGAGTGCCCAGTGCCAGCTTCTCAGGGATGCTGGGGCCCCGGGGCCTCAGGGGAGGTGGCAGCGCCATGTCTCTGTCCTGCCAGCGTCCTGCTTCACGCCAGCCAGGGCCCCTGCGAGGCCTTGCTCTCCACAGCGGAACCAGCTGTGTGTCCGTAACTGGGAGCCTGGACGGGCCCCGGGGGAGGAGCCCGCCCATGTCCGAGAGCCCGGGCTGCTGGGGCCAGGACAGGCAGCTGCCCCTCCCTGCCCGGTGCTGCTGGACCAACCCCCCCGTCCTCCAGGTACCACCACACGACCCCCGTCATCAGCCTCTACAGCCTGAGAGAGAGCCTGGCGCTCATAGCCGAGCAGGTGCGTGCAGGGCGGGGCGGGGCGGGGAGCAGCCGTGGGCCCTGTGGGGAGGTGCCGGGTGGCCTGTCTCTGGGAGGCCACTGGCCAAGGTCCCTCAGGCCATTGTAGGGCAGTGGGACGGGGGCTCCTAAGACGCTGAGAAGCCGCGGTGGGTTTGCTGGCGGGCCAGGCCTGCAGGGAGCGGGGCGCTGGGCTTGGGGAGAACCCCAGGGTTGGAAAGACCACCCTTCACCTGCCCAGCCCAGCGCTGAGGCAGGAGCAGTTGTGGGGAAGGGCAGGCAGTGGAAGCGGAGTGGAGGGTGCAGCCCTAAGAGGATGGAGGGCCCAGAGGCTCCTGCCTGAGCCTGGTCTGACCTGCCCCAGCCCTCCACCCACCTGCCCCCCGCACTGAGCTCTCGGTGCCTCTCCCTGGAGCTAACCAGGGCCCCAAGCTGGGGGCTGCGGGGCTCCCCATCCACGCCTGCAGAGCCAGTTTGTCCCTCGTTTTACCATAGAGGGAGGGGACCCCGCCCTGCCCTGCCCCCGACAGTGCTCACCCCACCCCCCACACGCAGGGCCTGGAGAACAGCTGGCGGAAGCACCGGGAGGTCACGGCGTACCTGCACGGACGGCTGCAGGGGCTGGGGCTGCAGCTCTTCGTGAGGGACTCGGTGAGGGGTCCTGCACCCCCAGAGACAGCCCTGAACCCCTGGGGACAGTCCTGCACCCAGGGGGGATGACCTTGCATCCCCAGGGACAGCCCTGCACCCAAGGGGGACAGCCCTGCATCCCCAGGGATGGCCCCTGCACCTAAGGGGGACAGCCCTGCACCCCTGGGGATGGCCCTGCACCCAGGGGGACAGCCTTGCACCCGTGGGGACAGCCCTGCACCCAGGGGGAACAACCTTGCACCCCTGGGGATGGCCCTGTACCCCCGGGGATGGCCCCGCACCCAAGGGGGATAGCCCTGCACCCCCAGGGATGGCCCTGTACCCCCGGGGATGGCCCCGCACCCAAGGGGGACAGCCCTGCACCCCCGGGGATGGCCCTGCACCACCGGGGACAGCCCTGAACCCCCCGGGGACAGCCCTGCACCCAGGAGTATGGCCCTGCACCCCTGGGGATGGCCCTGCACCCCCGGGGACAGCCCTGCACCCCCCGGGGACAGCCCTGCACCCAGGAGTATGGCCCTGCACCCCTGGGGATGGCCCTGCACCCATGGGGGTGGGGGCTGAGGGGCTCTTTCCCACCCGCCTTGGGACAGACTTGTAGAGTCACCTACAGTCCCGGGTGGCTTGGTGGCCCTGTGGGGACAGGCGGGTGAGGCTGGGCAGGCGACCCTGGCCAAGAGCCACCTGAGGGCCCTTGCAGTGCATCTGGCCCCAGGCCTGAGCCGGGCCCGCCGCCCCTCCCCCCCGCCCCCCGCAGGCGCTGCGGCTGCCCACGGTCACCACGGTGGCCGTTCCCGCCGGCTACGACTGGAGGGACATCGTCAGCTACATCATGGACCACTTCAGCATGGAGATCACGGGCGGCCTTGGGCCCTCTGTGGGGAAGGTGAGGGAGCTCCCGGCAGTGGGGGGTGGGGGGGCACCTGCGCCCCCCAGAAACTCACCGCCCGGCGCCCCGCACACCACGTCCAGGGCAAGGCCCAGTCCCGAGGGCCCAGGACGGCAGGGACGTCCGGAAAGGGGCGCGGCTGTTCAGGGGGTGCGGGCGCCCTGTGCCCTCCCGTCCCGCTCCACCCCTGCCTGGCGAGGTCGCGGGCGCGGCGCCACAACGCCACTCAGAGCGTCCTCCCTGCCTCTGAGCGGAGCCAGAAGCCGGCCGGAACCCCACGCCTGGGCCCAGCGTGTCTGAGTGTTCCCACCGCCACGCCCTGGGCCCCCCTCGCCAGCTCTGTGGGTGCAGGGGGGTGACGCCAGCTGCGGCTGGGTCTTCGGGGGCTCCCGTCTCCCCGGGTGACCCGCACGAGGCTCCAGGCCCCCCTGTGTGCGTGGGGTGGGGGTCCCAGCAGGCGAGCCCGGCCCGGCTCCGACCAGCCCTCGGCGAGGCGGGAGGCCCCCGCAGGAGGCTGACGCCACGCCCGGCCTGGCCCCAGGTGCTGCGCATTGGCCTGCTGGGCTGCAACGCCACCCGAGAGAACGTGGACCGCGTGATGGAGGCCCTGAAGGAGGCCCTGCAGCGCTGCCCCAAGAAGAAGCTGTGACCCACCACGGGCCCACGCCCGGCCCACGCCCGGCCCACACCCGGCTGCAGGGGCCCAGGAGGACCCAGGGCCAAACAGACTCTGCGTGGCCAGTGGGCCCGGGGACAGCAAAGGCATTGACCCGGCCCAGGGGGACAGGACCGGCGGCCTCCCCGGCCCAGGCCTCCATGTAGGGCCTCCTGGGGACGGGCACTGAGGCCCAGGACCCTTGTGCCTTCCCCACGAGTGGCAGGCCACGCAGGCCACGGGGCTTCTGGGCACATTCAATAAAGAGCGGTCGTCACCTCGCCTCACTACATGGGTGGCTGTCTGTCTGGCGGGGGTGCTGGGGGGCACCTCTGCTCCCTGCACCGTCCCCTCAGGGACCCCCAGGGCTCCTGTCCCAGAGCCCATGCGGCCGACCCTCTTCTTGGGCCTCGTCCCCCGGGGGGGGACACTGTCACGCAGTCTGGCCCTGGATGTCACAGCCCCAAACGCATCCGCACACGCCACCCCCGGGGGGGCCCACACAGCCCCACAGCCTCTGCGCCCGCAGATGTGTGGCCTGAGCCCCACCCCCACCTCTGCTGGGTCCCCTCGGTCCCTAGGAAGGGCCCTGCCCCAGCCGCTGCCACGCCTACACGTCCAGGTCCTCCCTGGCGCTAACAGCCCAGGGAGGAAGGCCGGGCGGGGTCTCCCTCCTGTCCAGGGGCAGCCCCGCGTGGGAAGGGCTTGGCCTGGCTCCGGCCCTCACTGGCTCGGGCAGCAGGGCACGCGTGTGCCTGTGGGACAGGGCCACCAGCAGGCCAGAGGCCGTCTGCCCACAGCCGCCGTGATCACACTGATGGGACCACACGGGCCCTCACGGCACAGCCGTGGCCAGCACAGGGGCGGGAGGGTGGGAGCCCCGAGGCAGAGTGGGGGGCGCTTGTGAGGGGAGCTGGGAGCCTGGGACCCGGGTCACGGCCCGGAGAGCAGCCCTGTCTCGGTTTCCCCAGAAGCATACGCTGAGACCAGGGTTCAAGTACAAGCAGCTGATTTGGGAGGTGACCCCTGACCCACCCAGGGGAAGGCCCCCGGGTCCCCATCTGGCCGAGGGGACCACCCGCCCCCGCCCCCGTCCGGTTTCTGCCGCCACCGGTCGGCTGCGCCCGCCTCGGTTTCTTGTCCGTGGAGCACACACCTGTTCTCCGCTGCGTCTGCTTCTCCCACCAGACGTGTTTGCAGTCCACGCGCGCTGTGGGGACTCGTTTGTCTTTGCCGAGTGCTGTCCGGTCACGTGGCCACTGCGGATGGGCGTCGGGGGCCGTTGGCAACGGGGCTGTGACGACTGTTCTCGCCCGGGGCTGTGTGGCCGCACGGTGCCGTCTCCTTGAGTAAGAAGGGCCGAGTGGAGCTGCAGGGCCAGCGGACAGGCTTGGCTTTGTGGGTGACGCCGTGGAATTCTCCAAAGGGGTCGTGACATCTCCACTCCCACGGCCACGGACGAGAGTTCCACGTGCCACCACCACCCCCCCCCGCCACGTTTGGTGGTGTTTTCTGCAAGCCGCTGGCCATTTGTGTGTCTCCTTTTAGAAGCATCGGGTCAAATATTTTGCTCATAGTATTTGGACTTTGATCTTTTTATGGCTGATTTGTGACAGTTATTTTGACATATTCTAGATGCTCTCAGATGCGGGTGGCGCAGCTATTTTCCCCGCCTCTGTGGCCTGCCTATTCGTTTTTTAATAGCGTCTTCCAAAGGACAGGTGTTTGTGCTTTCGGCAAAGTCCTACTTACGTGTTTTCCTCTAGGGTCCTGTTTGTATCTTACCTAAGAAACTTTGCCTACTTTGAAATTGTGAAGGTGTATTGCTGTTTCTTCGGGAAACTTCATGGCGTCAGCGTTTGCACTTAGGTCTAGGATACACCCCGGGCTCGTTTGTGCATGGGATGGAAAGGGGGTCGAGGTTAGCTTTTACGCATACGGGTATCCAGTTGTCTCAGCAGCGTCTGGTCAACAGACCCTCCTTGCCACGGTTAATCGACCCGGCAGCCTGGCCAAAGGCAACTGACCACGCACAGCGGGTCCACTCCGAGCCTCTCTGCTGTTTTGTCGCTGTCTGTCTGTCCTTGCGTCCACACTGGGCTGCCAGAAATACTCCAGGTGGCTTCACAGTACGTCTTGAAGTCAAATAGCGCCAGTCCTCCAATTTTGTTCTCCCCTTTGAGATACTTTCCTGTCCTAAGTCTTTTGAATTTCCATATGGATTTTATTTTATTTTTAATTTATTTTTCTATATATTTTTAGTTGGCCAATTTCTTTTCTTTCCTTTTCTTCTATCTTCTGCTTTCTTCTTTCTTCTCTCTTCTTTCTTATTCTTTCTTTTTTTCTTGTCTCTTTCTTTTTTTTTCAGTAGAGACGCGGGTTCTCAGCTCTTGCTCAGGCTGGTTTCGAACCTCCTGACCTTTATTGAGGCTATCCTCCGCCTCGGCGTCCAGAGTCTGGGATTACAGGTGAATTTCCATGTGGATTTTAGACTCATCTTGTCTGTTTCTCCAGAACAGCTTGCTGGACTTGTGATGAGAGCCGTACCAGGTCTGTGTAGCAAGTTAAGAACAAGGGAGTCATGACTTCCAATTCATAAACATGAATTTAGATCTTTCCAAATCACTCTCAGCGCTGTTTCTAGTTTTCAATGTAGAGGTCTTGAGTGTCTTTTATTAGATCCATTCCTGGGTGTTTGATATTTTTGACAATATCATTATTTTTATTTATTTATTTATTTTTGAGATAGAGTCTCACTCTGTTGCCCAGGCTAAAGTGCCGTGACGTCAGCCTAGCTCACAGCAACCTCACACTCCTGGGCTCAAGCAATCCTGCTGCCTCAGCCTCCCGAGTAGCTGGGACTACAGGCATGCGCCACCATGCCCGGCTAATGTTTTCTATATATTTTTAGCTGTCCAGGTAATTTTCTTTATATTTTTAGTAGAGACAGGGTCTCGCTCTTGCTCAGGCTGGTCTCGAACTCCTGAGCTCGAACGATGCTCTGGCCTCGGCCTCCCAGAGTGCTAGGATGACAGGCGTGAGCCGCCGCGCCCGGCCTTTTTGACGCTACTATAAATGGCATTTTAAAAATTTCATTTCTGATTGTTTATTTTTAACATACATAGCACAGTTATTTTTTTCTATATTGATCTCGTGCCGTCCAACCTTGATAAACTCACGAGGTCTAGTAATTTCTTTGTATGATAGATTCCTTCGGATTTTCTAAGTAAGTGATCAAATTCTGACTACTGAGAGTTTTTGTTCTTCTTTCTCCATATTCTCGCCTTTTTGCTTATTTCTCTGTGCGGCATTACACAGGTGAGGACCACAGGTGCAGTGCTGAGTTGTCCGGGACTAGTGTGCTCAACGTCTCGAGATTCCCGCAGGTCTATGCCCTAGAGCCACTGCCAGACGTAGGAGGGCCCTTCTGTCCTGGTTTGCTGAGAGCACGTGCCACTAGCAGGCGTGTTCTCAGACGCCTTTTCTGCCCACGGTGGGATGGCCGTGCAATTGTGCTTCTCTGCTCTGCTGATGTGCCGACATTCTCGTGTTATCACTATCTGGTCAGTATGAAGGTTCCGCCGGCCTCCTAAAATGGTCTGGGCAGCGTGGCCTTCTCCTTTGTTCTCTGACAAAGTTTGCCTTAAGTGTTTACTAGAATTCACCGGTGAGTTCTTCTGAGACGGGAGTGATTTTTATGGGAAGGACTTTTTTTTTTTTTTAATGAATTCAATTTTGTTTAATAGACAAGGGGTTCTTTAGATTTTCCTCTTTCTGCACACGCGGGTTCTGGTGACCTGTTCGCCCAGGGCGTGCCTGTGTTTCCTCTAAGCCGTCGAAGGTGTCAGCGTGACGTCGTCCCGACGTCCCTTTGCCGTCCTTCCGTGTCTGTGGGACGTCCGGTCGCTCCCCTGTCCGCTCCTGACGTTGGCCCTTTGTTTGTTCTCCCTCTGTCGCGGGCCAGTCTTGCCACGGGGCTGTCAGCTTTGTTCATCTTTTCGAAAAGCAACGTTTGCCTGCATTGCGCTTGTCTATTGTTTGTTTTCTGTTGATGCCCTCTCTCGGCTTTACTATTCCTTTCATTTTACTTTGTTGGGTTTTAATTCGCTCCTCTTTTTCTAGCTTCCTGGAGTAGAAGCTAAGACGACTGATCTCAAAACGCTTCTTCTGTCCTGCTACGGGCATTTAAAGCTGAACGTTTTCCGCAAGCACTTTCTTCGCTGCGCCTCCCAAATGCTGACAGGTGCTGTTCCCGCCGCTGTCACTCGGGTCCAAGTGTTCTGTGATTTCCTCTCTGACCCACAGATTATTCACACTTATGTTGTGTGATTCCCAAATGTTTGGGGGACATGCTAAATGTCTTACCGTTCTGTGTGTCTGATTCCCGTCGGGTAGGGTCGGAGGTCACACGTACGTGGGGTTTAATTTTTTTGTAAGTGGCTTGAAATCGTCTTGGCGAATCCTCCACGGACACATGAGGCGAGTGTGTCTCCCGCCACCGCCGAGTACGGCGTCCTCGGGCAGGAGCCAGGGCGGCATGGGTGTCGCGTGCCGTCTCTGAGGTGCTCGCCCACGTCTTCGTCGCTCTCTCTGCCGAGCGCTGACGGCCGGCGCTCAGAGCCACAAGTCTGGACGCGGCTCTGCCCGATCCTGCCGTCGGCGCTGCCCGTTTGCTCCCCGAGTTTTGAAGTTCCGTTGTCGGGAGCATTGCGTCTTCCCGATGGACCGGCTTTTCCTGTCATCGCGAGACGCCCCCTTCACCTCCGGCGACGCCGTCTGTCTTCACGTCTGCGCGTTTCCTTCACTCGGGCCACGCGCCCCCCTCTTCTCAGAACGCGTGACCCGTGCGTACTCCGTGTGCTCTGCCCGCCGGGAGGCTCTCCCTCACGCCGTGTCTCCGGAACCGGAGGCAGGACAGCCCATCTGGGTTTGCACCACAGTCACACCCGCCAACCAGGCTCCAGGGTCTCCTCGTCCGTCGGCCGGTCCCCGGGACCCTCCCGCAGCCGTCCGTGAGCAGCGAGGGGAGGCAGGGTGTGCACGTGTGGTCAGAACGCGGCGGCTGCGGCCACTGTCCGTGCAACGGGTTTGTTCCCGCCCTCCCTGCGGGGCCTGATGCTGAGCGGGCCACGTCCATGTACAGTGGCCTCCGCCACCCCCAAACCCGTGGCCCTGCCACCCTTGGCTCCACCTCACGGTTACGTGGCGTCCCCTGGCGCCCTGGGGCCCCTTGTCTGCCGGGCCAACGTCACGCCGAGCTCCGCTTTTCGAGCAGCGAACGGTTCTCTGCTGCAGAACTTCGGCTCCAGGTCGGGGCCTGCCGGAGACGCCACTTGGCGGCCCTTTCTGCTGCGGGTGCTGCGAGCACCATGGCTGTACTGTGGCATGAACCTGCTGCACGGCCCGCCTGCGTGGTTCCCCGCTCAGAACTTAGCAGCCTCTGAGTCACCCCATGAGTGGGTGTCCCTAAGCGCAGCGCAGGCCGCCAGCCAGGCCCACCAGGTGGGGGAGGGGACAAGGCACCTTAGAAGCAACGCCTCGGCATGTCCCAGGCCACGGGGCCTCTAAGATCTTCACCGGCCGGTGAGACCCCAGGACCCTGTCACCTCCCACCCTTTGGAGTGAAGCAGCTCACAAAGCACCCCAGGAGCCTGCCAGGTGCAGCCCCGGTTCTGATTAGCTGGTGTCAGTTCAGTGAACCAGCCCAACAGTCTGCAGAGCACCCGGGTGAGGACGGCCCGTTGGGCTCACGTGGTGACACAGAGCCCGAGGGTGACCCGCCTGGGCCAGACTGTGGGCTCACACTGTCCCCCTCTCCCAAGGGAACCTGGCCCGTCTCTGCCCCTCCCCATGGTGGGGACTGGAGAGAACACATTCCCCAGCCGGGGGCACCCAGCGAACACGGGAGCCCCTGCTGTCCCGCTGTGCTGAAGGTCACGTGTCCAGCGCAGCACCCGACCTCAGGTCACGACTCGGTCACAACTATGTGACCCCCTGTCACCCACGGTCACCCACACAACCTGTCTGGTCTTTGCTGGTGAATTAAAGTCTTTGCAGGGACCGGAAGAGTTCTGTCACTGCACCCAGGATGTGGTGTGTTCGCTGCAGGCCGGGTTATTTGGACCGTGGGAGTGGGGGTGGTTCCGGAATCTTCCGTGGCCCTCCCCACTGCCGCAGCGATCACCCCCCCACCAAGTGCAGCCATCCTGACCCACGCACAGACACCCAGGAAACACGCGGTGGGCCTGGACCATTTGGACCCATCAGACACCATGGTGATGTGGACCAAGGTTCTGTCTCCTACGAGCCCCAGCCTCGGAGGGGCACGATGGCATTTGGGGCCCCGCACTGGTGTCGGCTCAGGCGTGGGGCCCTGCAGCCCCGAGGGACCTGGGCACCCCTGCCATGGGCGTGCGGCTCCTTTGGGAGGACTCCGGGAGTGGCTGCTGCACAGGCGCCGTGCAGTGGCCGGTCCCCTCGTCCCCTCCCAGAGCCCAGGGTGGGGCTGCGGCTCAGAGCAGAGCGGCAGACACCCCTGAGAGGCCACAGAGGACGGACGGCGGGAAAGGTCCCTGGGGCTGGCCGTGGGGGTCGCCGGCTGGGGACGGAGGAGAGGACGCGGGTGGGGACGCAGGGTGGCCGGCACAGACGGGCCGGGCGTCAGCTGCCAGGAGGGGCATCTCACGCCAGAGGGGCATGTCTGCAGTGACGGGGGGGGGGGGCAGACGGACTGGCGCCGGGCAGTGGCCCGCGTGCTGTGGCGTCCCCTGAGCGCGAGGACGTGGGGACACCGGGCAAGGAGGCCGTGTCGAGGAAGGGGAAGGCTTGACTGCGCCCTGCGCGCTTCTGCGGGGTGTGTTCCATGTGGGCACGCAAGAAGGGGAGGGCACACGGGTAAATCCAGTGCACGCATTTATCTCAGACCAAACACGCGGTATTTTGTCACTGTACGGTGCGGGCAGGACGAGCCCCCGGGCGGAAACACGGTTTTCTTGACCCCATCGCACGAGAGGCCGACAAGCGTCTGGTGAAGGCCTTGCACCCTCACCCGGGCCTCACCTGGCAAGGAGGCCCCGGACGTCTGCAGGAGTTTTCCGGTTCTCAGAGGCCGTCCCCGCCCCCCTGGGGCAGTCTGGGGGTGGCCCTGGGGACAACGCCCCTCCCCCGCCCACCTCATGGAGAAGCCCGTCCCTCCTGCGAACGTTCCTTCCACGTCTCCCCCGGGGCAGCGCAGAGAGGCTGTGGGCGCCGGCTCAGCTCTCCTCGCCACCCAGGGTCTTGGTCTTCCGGAAGATGCTCTGCATGGCCGAGATCCGGTCCTTGTCCTGGATGTTGAAGACCTGGAACTACAGGTGGGGCCGTCACGAGCAGGCAGGGCGGGGACAGGGCAGGGAGCCACTGGCTGGCCTGGGCCGCACCAGCCGTACTGCCCTGGGGAATCCGCCCGGAAGGGCCCCCAGAAGGCGACCAGCCCTGGCGTCCTCCCCCGCCTGGCCTTCCTCTCACGCAGGGACCCTGGGCCGGGCTGCTCACAGAGGCGGCCCCACTAGGTGCAGCTGAGAGCTGACTGTGCATCACCCCCTACCCACCCACCCACCCAGGACAGAGAAGGGCCCATCCCTCCCGGGGCCTGCCGACTTCGGGTAGCAGTTCGTAAGCGGCAGGTGGAGAGGGGACGCCAAGAGGCTGCCAGCCCCCAAAGCGGGCAGAGTTTGCCAAAATGACGAGGCAGGAGAAACCCAACACCACGGCAGCCCCCGCCCTGCCCTGCTGCCGCTGGGACAGGAGAGGCTGCAGAGAAAGGCCAAGGAGGAGCCCTGCAAGGGGGCTGTGCCCATTCCTGGGGGGAGGGGGAGGAGCCCTGCAAGGGGGCTGTGCCCATTCCTAGGGGGAGGGGGGAAGGAGCAAGGTGGGCGTGTGTGGGGGTGGGGAAGGGCAGACTCCGCCGGCAGGCAGAACCTGGGGGCTCCAGGAGGGGCAGCCAGGACCCCCCACGGCAGGCCGGAGGGACTCAGGGACCCCAGGGTCCTGGTCGCTGCGGGAGTCTGTCCCCACAAGGCCGAGGAAGGCCACCCCCTTTCAGGAGGAGCAGAGCCCCAGGTGGGAAGGTGTGCAACGAGCCTGGTGGAAACCGGGGAGCGGCCTCGGACGGGCTTCCCGGCCCCCCCCAGCAGCCCAGGCCGGCTGGCAGCAGGCGCCCACCTTGTCCAGCAGGACGTCAAAGTAGGCGGTGGCCCAGTAGGCGGGGTCGCTGGCCGGCAGCTGCAGGAGCGCCTTGACCCCGCCCCCGATGCGCGGCGGCGGGCTGCGGCCCAGGTGGGTGGCGTGGATGCGCAGGGACGCCTCCGGCTGGCTGGCGAAGGCCTCCACGCGCTCGTAGACGACGTTGAGGTCCAGGCCGCCGTCCTGCAGCAGGTTGAGCTCGGGGTGCAGGAAGTGGGGCAGGTTCCTGGTGGCCAAGCAGCTGAGCAGCACCACCAGCAGGCGGTACACAGCGCCCTGCAGCTCCGCCCAGTCCTCCGGCGCCGGGAACAGCACGCAGGCCCACAGCAGCACCGTCTGCGGGCGGCCGCGGGGTCGTCAGCCGCGCCTGCTTGCGCCCCACCCCTGCCTGCTCACCTCTCCCCACCCCAGTCCATCGAATCCTGGCCCTTCCACCTGCAGACCAGTGGAGGCTCCCAGGGGCCCACCCCTGCCTTCTTGGCCCACCCCTGCACCTCCTCGGACCCACCCTTGCACCTCCCTCGGCCACCCTGACTCTCAAGCCCCACCCTCACATCCTCGGCACCCACCTCCTGCACCTCCTCGGCCCCCACCCCATGCACCTCCTTGCCCACCCTGATCCTCCTCAGCCCACCCCCTGCACCTCTCGGCCCACCCCCAGGCACCTCTTTAGCCCACCTCATGACCTCCTCGGCCCCCCACCCCCTGACTCCCTCGGCCCCACCCCCTGGCAACTCCTCGGCCACCCTGAACTCTCGGCCCCCAGCCCCTGCACTTCTTGGCCCCACCCTGCACTTCCTCAGCCCCCCACCCTGCACTCTCGGCCCACCCCCAGCACCTCTTTAGCCCCACCCTGACTCCTCGCCCCCACCCCTGCACCTCCTACTGCCCACCCCTGCACTCCTCGTTTCCCCACCCTGCACTCCGGCCCCACCCTGCATCTCGCCCCACCCCCTGCACCTCCTCGGCCCCACCCTGCCCCCTCGGCCCCACCCCCTGCACTCTGGCCCCCACCCCTGCACTCCTCGGCCCCCTGCACCTCCGTCGCCCCCAGCTCAGCTCACAGGCACACTACCCCCCTCACCTCCACTTACCACCCAGCCACCAGCCCTTCCAGGTTCTTCTGGGGTCCCACCCTCCTCCTGGCCTTTATCTCATGCCCCACCCGCCAGGGGCTCCTACTCTTTGCTGCAGCCAACCATCAGGCCCAGCGGCTCTGCCACATCCCGATCTGTGTGTGTCCTGATGCCTGGGCCGAGCGACGTGTCTAAGAGCAATCAAGAGCTTGAGCTCTGTCGGCGTCAGGTTGCCCCTCCATCTCCTGGACGGCTGAAACTCAGCCTCAGGCACAGGTCACACAGCGGGACCGTGCAGGCCAGGTGGGGCCACCCCATCAGGAGCAGCGCACTTCGGCAGCCACAGAGCTCAGGCACGGGCCCCAGTCCGCGGACCCCAAGACTCCCAAGCCCGCCTGCTTCCTCCGTGACCGCCTTGTGGGGCTGGGCTGGGGCTGCGGCTGGGGTGGCCTGCCTCTCCCTGCGGTCAGCAGGTGAGGTACAAGCCCTGGAAGGCCTGGTCCGCCAGGCTGGGCGGAGAGGCAGCAAGGTGGGTGCAGAGGAGGCCCCGCGGTGGCGTCACAGACTCCAGGAGGCGAGCGGGTCCTCCAGGGACACTGGCCTGGGTGGCAGGGATCTCGGGCGCGAACACCAGGGCCCACAACTAAGTGTCCAGGGCTGGAGGGTTCAGGGCCCAAGACCAGGCGACAGGCAAGGCACGGCGCCCTGCAGCCACGTCCATGAGGCGTGGCCCCACCTCCTCGCACCCCGGGAGAGACCACTCGGGCCGGCGGGGGACAAGCCGGGTGCCCTGCCCTCGTGCCCAGGTTACAGATGCAGGCGAGGGTGGGGGGCGCCCGCCGGGCCCTCCCTCCCCGTACCTTCAGGTGGCCGAAGGTCAGGCCGGCACGGCGGCCGCCGTCGCGCCAGCTCTCGTGGTTCACCCGGTCGAGGACAGAGAGGCTGTCCAGGCGGTGGCCCTGCAGGGCGCCCAGCGCGGCCAGCAGCCTGGTGAGCAGGTAGTCCGTGGACGTCCTGGGGGCCCACAGGTGGGTGCGGCAGTCAGCCCCGGCGGCGGTGGCCGTGCTGCACCTTGACCTGCCCGCCGGGACGGCCTGGGCCCGAGCAGGCCCAGGACCTGCGCTGCCGGCTTTCTGGGGTGAGCACCCAGTTTCCATGGAGACTCCCAGCTCATGGAGCAGCACAGGGAGCCCCTAAGGGAAGGTGCCCCCGACCTGCCCAGCGTGGAGCAGCAGCACCCGGCCCCAGGGCAGGTGCCAGCGCCCCCCTCCCGGGGTGTGACAGCCCCTCCCCGGCCACGGCCCATTTGTGCAGCCCAAGCCAGACCCAGGGCAGCCACAGGACCCCCAAGTCTCTGCCCCTCGCCCACTGTGCCTGCAGCTCAGACCACTGCACACCAGAGGAGCTCGCTGTTTTCCGTGCAAGGGTTGCAACCCGCTGCCATGCGCCCCCTCCCTGCAGAGCCTCACTCCTGAGCCGATATCTGCCCAGCCCCCCACACCACACGGGGACAGGGCTGGGACAGGCCCTGAGTCTCTGCCCCTCCCCCACCGTGCCCACAGCTCAGGCCGCTGCACACGGGAGGTGCTCACCATGTTCTAGGGGTGCAACGCCGGGGCCCCGCCACCATGCGCCCCCCCCACCGCAGAGCCTCACAGCTGAGCCGTCGTCTGCCCAGCCCCCACGCGGGGACAGGGCTGGGAAACACCCTTTTCCCATTCACTGGCCCAAACTGACGGCTCAGCCCAGGCCCTGCCCTTCCTGGCAGATGGGCAGCCATTCGGGAGCCTGGTCACAGCCCCCGCTCCGTGCCAAGGGGTCAACCAGGGACGCCGGGGCAGGGTGGGCTCACTGGCGCCCTGCGAGCCGCCTCCTCCCCCTGTAGCCCAGCCTGACAAGCGTCATCGGAGGGAGTGCCACTGTCTCAGGGTGTCCCTCAGGTGCATGGGCCGTCGTCGTGACAACCCTGCCTGCAGGTGCTGTGTGAGGTGCTGTCAGGTCTAGGCGGGGCTCTGGCCCTGCCCGCGGCCTGGGGTCCCTGGGGGCACAGAGGGCACCCGTGTCCCCGTCCTCCCTCTCTCAGACACAGATCACAGCTGCTGGGGACAGAGACCAAGGGGCCCCAGGGGGCCGACGGACTTCCAGGGCCAGCAGGGGTCTGTGGGGGGGATCTGCTGCTAAACACCAGTGGGGGCCACGGGGGGGGGAGGGGCACTGGAATCTGGGGGGCGCAGCCCCGGTGGGCGATGCCACCAGACCCAGCTCCCCACCGTGTGGGGACCCCTCCCCAAGCTCAGGGACCCTTCGCTGCCCTGGACAAGTCCCCTGACTTTCCCGCCAAGGGCGGCAGCGGCTGGGTGACGAGACTGCACCGTGGTCTCAGCTCTGCCACACCCCACACCCTGCCCCCGCCTGGGAGAGGACGAGCCCCCCTTCCTCAGCAGCTCTGAGAGCGACCGGCCCCCCAGGCCCCCCAGAGACCCCAGTAACTCAGCGGGACACAGGTGCCCCCAGGGCAGAGGCAGGCGGACCCACAGACCCTCCTGCAAGGGTAGGGAGCACACAGGCGGCAGCCGACCCCCTCCCTGCCCCCACAGGACCCCGCAGCCCGGGCGCGCCTACCTCCAGAGCTGGGTGCTGGCCGGCACCAGGTCCACCCCGTGGCCGATGATCCTCGCCACGCTGCCCGCCGGGAAGCCGGGCGTGAGCTGGGCCCCCTCCAGGGCGGGCAGCCTCTGCCTCCTGCGCACCACGGGCACCAGGCTGAAGCGGACGGTCCTCCAGCCGCTGGACACCAGCAGGGTCAGGCACAGAGGCTCCTCCCGCAGGCTGGCCGCGCTGAGCGAACCTGCAACGGCCACGCGGCTGCTCTCCCGCCCGGCCCGGCCCCGAGGGACACTCCCCAGCCACCCCGCTGCCACTCAGCCCCAGACCCCTCGACACCTCTCACCTGCAGCCCCCACCAGGACACCTGTGTCCCTCCCGGCCCCCAGGATGCACCCGCCCAGGCAGCAAGGCCGGTCACCCGCACGGCGGTCAGCTACGGACATGGCGGCCTCAGGGACGGGGTTTCTGTGTGTCCTGCACCCTGCAGCCCAGCCGTGATGGCATCTATCCACGCCTTCCCGAGGCTGCCTGGGGCCCAGGTCACCCCGGAGACTGTGCTCACCCCACGACTGCCCAGGCTGGGCCAGGAGGGATCCAGACCTGCCCCTCCTGCCCCTTGGAAGCCTCCCCGATCAACCATGTGCACAGAAATCCCCACGTCCGACTTGGGTCTAGGGGACAGGCCTGCACCAGCTGGTCCTCACACTCTGGCCGGGCCCCAGCTTCAGGTCTGTGTGGGAGGAGAGGTCAGCACAGTGGGGTGCGCAGGTCAGAGGTCAGGGCAGCCCACCCGACCCGCTGGGAGCCAGGCCCAGACCGGCACATGGGCAGGTTCCAAAGGGATCCCCCTCACCTGCCCCTTGGAGAAAGATCTTCCTGTGGGTGAGCATGGGGCTGTGTCCCCCCACCCAGCGCTGTCCCCCCACCCTTCCCTTCAGGAAGGAGCCGCCCCAGCTGTCGCCCCCTCTGCAGCCACCGTCACCCACTGGGCAGCTCTGAGCCACCCCTCCACCCCCCGGCACCCACCACAGCAGTCGGGCCCCGCCACCTGGGCCACTCTATTCCCACGTGGCCCCTAGCATGAGGGAGGGGCCGGCCCTCTCCACACCCTAAGGCCACCATGGGTGGCTGCGTGTCCTTGTCCACCGCCGGCCGCACGTGCTGTCAGGCAGTGGCAGCTTGGAGGGCAGCCAGCCCCACCACGGCCCCGGCTGGTCGCACCGGTTCCCAGGGTGGGGGCAACCTGAACCCGTGACCCCAGCTCCCTGCTAAGCTGAGTGTCAGGAAACAATGCCTGGAATTTCCCGCACACCCAGCGCAGGGGCCCCCTGGGGGAAGGCAGGGCTGGGGGGGGCGGCTGGCAGCACAGACTGAACCAGATGGCTGCAGGGCCCGGCAGAGCCTCCTACCCACCCAGCAGGTGGGTCTGTCTCCCAGGTGGGCCCATGGGTGACAGGGCCGGGTGGCCACGGCTGTGTCAGGTCAGACAAGGGACAGAAATGGTCTCCCCAGCCACTCGAGGTAATTAGGAGGTTCAGGAGACGACCAGGTAAGGTGCTCACAGGCTGCAGGGCAGGGTGAGGGCTGGCATGGGCGGCCAGAAGCCGACACCTGATGACAGGCTCTGGCGGCCGAGAGGTCAGGCTGGTCACTTGGCCCAGACACCAGGCAGGTGTGGGGAGGGGCTTGGGTGGGGTCCCTCCAGCGTTGGACATATGTCCAAGAGCCAAGGACCCTTTGGATCTCCCAGCCGCGTGCTGTGCCGACACCCCTTCCCTGACCACCGGACGTGCCGGAGGAAAGGTGGGTCCCCCACTGCCGGGCCCACCTGGATGTGCAGCCGGACCTGCCCCTCAGTCAGGCAGCTGACCTCCCCCCGCCACCACTGATGTAAGGGTCAAACACCAGGGAGGGGACTTGAGGTGACAAACCCCTGTGAGGACATGCATGACTTATGTGTGACATGCCTGTCCCCCCCCCAAGGGAAGCAGGACATTCTGTGGGGTCCCAGTGCCCTGCCAGGACAGCCTGAGGTCTCGCCCTGACCCGGGAGGACCGCACCTTCACTCAGGCCGCCATCCTGGCCCCTGCGCCTGGGGCCTCTGCAGGGGCCTCTGCAGGGGCCCCTGCCCCTGCGCCTGCGGCCTCTGCCGGGCCCTGCGCCTGACCTCGCAGCCCTGCTGGAGGAGGTCACGGTGTCCACCCCCCCGGGGGCCCTGCCCACCCGGGCTCAGATTCACCCCAGATCACAGCAAGGAGACCCCAGAGGAGAGACTGGGCCAGGTGGCGGGCACAGGTGAGGTCCAACCTGGGGCCCAAGACACCACTTAGCAACTGGGCCGTAAGTGGATGCAGGCATGAGCACACGGGCACACATGCATGCCCACTGCTGCACTCGCACACGCGTGCACATGCACCCCTCCCAGCCAGACGCTGGAAGCGGGGATGGCCGTGTGGACCGTCACACTGGGCTGTGCCTGACGACAGAGCCAGCTGCCCAGCACCGCAGTGGGACCCTCGCCGGGCAGGCCGAGCAGCAGAGCAGCCCCCGCCGCGAGGCGTTGGCCAGTTAGTCAGTTGCAACCGCGAAGACCCCACTATGGAGATCACCACGCAAAACCCAGAGAACGCGAAACGCACGGCCCGACTTTTTGGAGGTGTTTGGACCTCAGAGTGATGTCTCCCAGCTGACGTGCCCCCGACACACACACTGACAACACACGCCATGCACACATGCACGGTGATCACACGCATGTGCACTCACACACTTGCACACAGACTCCCATGCAGTGGGCAGGTCACCCTGTGGGCACACATTCACATGGCTGTGCGACCACATGCAGGATTCACACACATGCATGTGGACACCGTGCAGTGGGCAAGTCACCCTGTGAGCACACTCACACGGCTGTGCGACCACACGCAGCACTCACACGCGTGCACACAGACACCCACGCAGTGGGCAGGTCACCCCGTGAGCACAGTCACACGGCTGTGCGACCACTCGCAGCACTCACACGCGTGCACACAGACACCCACGCAGTGGGCAGTTCACCCCGTGAGCACAGTCACACAGCTGTGCAACCACACACAGCTCTCACACGTGTGCACACGGACTCCCAAGCAGTAGGCAGTTTGCCCCATGAGCACACTCACACAGCTGTGCGACCACACAGAGCACTCACACGCATGCACGCAGACACCCACGCAGTGGGCAGGTCACCCTGTGAGCACACTCACACGGCTGTGCGACCACACAGAGCAGTCACGCGCGTGCACACAGACACCCACGCAGTGGGCAGGTCACCCCGTGAGCACACTCACACGGCTGTGCGACCACTCGCAGCACTCACACGCGTGCACTACCTGGCGCGATGAGGCTGTGGTGCTTGCAGTGCACGATGGCCGCCACCAGCAGGTCCCTGAGCACGCGCAGGACCTTGCTGGGCTCGATGTGGCCGCGGCACCCGGCGCCCTCCTCCGCGCAGGCGCTGAAGACGTCGTCGCTGGTCCAGCGCTCCAGGCCGGCCCCTCCGCGGGGGACGCCCAGGCGGCAGGTCGGGGGGCCGCCCCCCGGCTCGGCGGGCCCCGGCTCCTCAATCAGCAGGGCCTCGGCGTCCACCCGCAGGGGCACCTCCACGCGCAGCGGGCCGTCCGAGGAGCGCAGCGCGAACTGGAAGGCCTCCAGGTCGCGGGAGTAGTCCACCACGAAGCGCGCGTCCAGCGCGTGCACGCGCTCCAGGACCGTGAGCAGCACGTTCTCCGCGCGCTGGTAGTCCTGCACCCGGGGCGCCGCCCGCGAGCGGATGGCCCCCAGGTAGTGGTGCCACAGGGACACCTGCCCGGCCGCGGCGGGGCCGGAGGGGGCCAGCATCCCTGCGGCCACCGGCCGTGCGGGTGGGCTGGGAGGAGGAGAGGCACCTGCCCAGGTGAGGAGCGGGTCCGGGGTGGGGCGCCAGCTACCCGCAGAGCAGAATTCCGGAGCGAGGGCTCGGCTGGTGGTTAAATAGCTGCGTGGGGCCCAGGCCTTTGAAGTGGGGTGAGTCAGTCAGCGACAATCAGGCATGTCCCAGGGCAGGCCGCCCGGCCACCGCCCCCTCCCTCCTGTCATCCAGGCCCAAGGCACAGCCCTGGCACTCAGGCTCCCCGAGTCCCTGGAGAGATGTCACTCGGGACCTGGCACCCCTGGGCGGTGCTGTCCTGGGGGGCCTGTGTCCCTAGGCCCCTCCCTCCCTTGTCCCCATAGCCGGGGGCACAGAGTCTGCAAATTGGGCCTGCCCTGCCCCAGCCTCCCCCGCAAGTGGGAGGGGACCAGGGCATCCCCCGGCTCAGGTGAGGAAAGTGAGGCAGGCGGTGGCTGCCCAGGCCCGCGCTTCTCCAGGGCAGCCTGGAACGAACACAAGGAGCCCCCGGCCAGGACCGGGGCTGCGTCTCCCGACATTCCCCTCAGACACCTGTGCCTGGCTCGGGGGCAGGTGCCCCACACCTGGTGCAGGCCGAAGCCCAGGTGTGAACCCTGCCTCTCCCTGCTGGCCGTGCTCCAACAGGGCCTGGGACCCCGGGCTGCCCACCCTGCGCCCCTCGGCCCTCTGCATGAGGGGAGCCAGCACCCACCTGGCCTGGGAGCTGGAGCTCACCTGGTTCAGGGAAGCAGTCTCCGTGGCCTAGCCTGCTCGCAGCTGGAAAGCCCCGCCCTGCCGGCCCCCCCAGCACCTGTGCGTGCAGCGCCCCGCCCGCTCCGCCCGCCTCCCTGCTCAGGGCTGAGCACGTCCCAACCGGCAGGCTGGAGCCACCCACCGACCCTTGGCCCCACCAGTTGGCCGTGCATGCCGGTGCTCAGCCTGGCAGCATCTGCGAACGGCAAACGCGGAGGTGGCCCCAGCCAGGCGCCCCGGAGACCCGGCCCCTGCAGCCCCACACTCGGGCCACAGACCTGGGAGCTGGGCCTGGGTCAGAGCCACAGGCAGAACCGGGCCCCCAGGACGGCTCGTGCGGGGCTGGGCGGCAGCTCTCACCGCCTGGTTCTGGGAAGCCCCCCTGCAGGCTGCAGCCCAGTGAGCTGGTCTCTGCTCCCATGCCTCCCAGGACGGGGAGCTCACCACCTCGCAGAGCAGCCCAGGAGATAGATTTTCCTCCTGGAACCTGGCCCAGTGCACTCCTGTCCTCTGGGGTTGCCCAGAGCACGCCTGCCCCTCCCCCAGGGCAGCCGCTCGGGTCCAAGGACCCACCCGCCCTCGGCCCCTCACACCCGGAGTCCCTCCAGCTCTGCCTTCCCAGGAGCCGCACCTAGGAGGCCAGCCCCCACCCCACCCCGGTGCCAGCTGCCAGCCCAGCCCCCCTCCAGGGCCCCTAAGGCATCTTACAGGCACCTCTAACTCAACGAGCCCCCCAGGCACCTCCAATCTCCCACCAAAGTGCTCCCACCCGCCCCCTCTGGGCTCCCCTCTGCCCAGTTGGTCCCAATCTGCCCCTCCCTGCAGACCCCACAGCCTGTGCCCTGTCTTTTCGCCATCGGCTTATTTCACTGGGCACGGCGTCCTCAAGGGCCACCCGGAGTTGTGGCACGTGTCAGAGTTTCCTTCCTCCCAAGGCTGAGTGATGTCCTGTCCCGTGGATGGACCACGCCCACTCAGCCACTGCCCCTCCGTGGACACCTGGCTGCCTCCCCGGTTGGCTGCTGTGAGCCACGCCCAGGAATCTCGGATCACGTGTCGATCCCGTGTTGAGTTTCTTTTTTATTTTCTTATCTTTTTTTTTTTTAATTTTTTAATATATATTTTTTTGAGAATGAGTCTCACTGTTGCCCGGGCTAGAGTGCAGTGGCGTCAGCCTAGCTCACAGCAACCTCAAACTCCTGGGCTCAAGCAATCCTGGTGCTCAGCCTCCCAGTGTAGCAGGGACTACAGGCATGCCGCACCATGCCCGGCTAATTTTTTTGTATATATATTTTTAGATTTGGTCGATTATTATCTTCTCTTTTTAGTAGACGGATCTTGCTCACTGCTCAGGCTGGTTTCGAACTCCTAACCTCGGCGATCCGCCTGCCTCGGCCTCCCAGAGTGCTGGAATTACAGGCGTGAGCCACCATGCCCGGCTAATTTTTTGGTATATATATTTTTAGGGGTCGAGTTAATTTCTTTTTATTTTTAGTGAGACAGGGATCTTGCTCTTGCGCAGGCTGGTTCGAAACTCCTGGACCTCGAGCGATCCGCCTGCCTCGGCTCCCAGAGTACACACCCCCCCGGGATTAGGCGTGAGCCACCGCGCCCAGCCCATTGCGTGGAGTTTTAACACCCAGCAGCCCCCGCCTCCCCCGGTCCCCAGGCAGGGCCCCTCCCCCAGGACAAGTGTCCGAGGGCAGGTCCCCAGCCTCCCTGCCACCCCCAGCACGTGTCCATGGCAGTGTTGTCCCCAAACCCCTCAGATGGATGGATGATTGGGGAGTGAAGGGCCAAGTCCCCTCTCCCACCCAGGGACCCGCTGGTGACTTGCACTCCTGGGCCCTCCTGGGACCCGGCACAGGTACCCGGCACAGGTACCCAGCACAGGTGCCCGGCCGGCCTCTCCTGGCCACACACTGTGCTGGCCCCCGGCCCACCTGGTCTGACACCCCTGACCCAGACAGGACCTTGGAGGTCACACGAAACGCATGTTCTCCTGGGTCAGTCCGCCGCCTCGCCGGCCAACACCCTGCCTCCTCAGACGGGAACGAGGCCGGTGCCGGACAGGTGTGCAGGACAGGTGTGCAGGACAGGTGTGCAGGACAGGTGGCGCTGACGTGTCCGCAGAAGACGGTTCACGGGCCGGGCAGCCCTGGGGAGGAGGGAATGCGGCGCCCCAGCCTCACGGCCCCCGGGCGTCCCCTCCTGCACAGTCACCGGGGATCCGACTGGCTTTCCGTCACTGCCCCAGCTCTGCCGGTAACTCCCTGCCCCCAGGGTCGGGGCCTCGCTGCAGAGCGCCAGTCCGATGGCTTGGCGACGACTCACAAGAGGTGTGGCTCCCGCACGTGGCAGAGGCGCGGCTGACCTGGGTCACGACCCCTCTGGGTTCTGACCGAGGCATGTCCCCCAACATGCTGGACAGGAAGTGGAAGTGGACCGCGGGCTCTGTGGTTGCACCAAAATCCAGCCTGCTCTGGTCCTGGCTTGGGCAGGTGCCACAGCTGACTGCCCTGTGGCCTGCCGGGCGGGCATCTGTCATGTGTCCACCACTGAGGCCAGCCACCATGTCCCAGCGTCCCACATGCGGCCAGGAGGACTGAGAACTGTCCCACAGGAGCGGGGAGCCAGAGATTAGGTGATGTGTTCTGAGGCTGTCACCCAGTAAGGGTTTCTGCTTCAGGAAGGTGACAATGAAAAAACCTGGCATCCTCCAAGTGCAGAGGCGTCAGTCACCCTTACGGCCTGCTGGGCAGACACAGCTGGTGGCCCTGTGCAGGGCATGGACATCACACACCGTTCCCAAGCCCCAGCAGGGAGCCAGGGTCCAGGCCCTGTTAGGATGTGCGCAGGACTGGCCAGGGCCCCTCTGCACCCCACCGTCCCCGATGGCCCGTCCCGCAGTCACCCCCACCAGGTGAGGACCTCTGGCACATGCTCCAGTCATTCTAGAACATTCCCTGGGGGCTGTGCCTTCTGCCTTCTCCTTCCAGCCTGTCAATGGCCCTGGACCGGGAGCCCGGCGCGCAGACACCCTGCAGGGAGGCCAGAGAAGGTAGACGGAGGTCACGGGGCTCCTCCGCACGGCCACAGCGGGGTGGGGGGAGGGGCGGCAGCATGGCAGATGGGGGGGGTTCCAGACAGACAAGGAGGCCACAGGCTGCGCTAGACGCCGGGCGGGGACAGGGGGCAGACTCACAGGCCGGCCGTATGGGGAGCGTCCGGGGGCTGGGGGGCAGGAGGGTCTGCCCTGGGTGGACGCAGAGGCCCCAGCACTTGGGCCAGGGACCAAACTTCCTGGTTGGCCAGGACTCTCCCAGGAAACCCCTCCTCCCTGGGCAAAGTCCTCCCTGCCGGAGAAAGGAGCAGACCACATCCCGTGGGAGAGGCCTGGCCGTGGGACTGCCATGCCCACCCGATGCCCACCAGATGGGGCTGAGCCCTGCCTTTGGCCTCACCCCCTGGGCATGTTTCTGACCCTCAGATTGAGCCCCTGACCCCCTCCAACTGGGGCCCCCACCCGCTGGGCCAGTGAGCACTGCCTTTGGCCTGGACGTGTGACCGCAGCCCAGGGGCCCCCTGCAAGTGCCCCGCCCCCCCCTCGATCCCCCCGCCCCCCCTCAGGCCCCAGGTCGCCCTGAACCTGGGCTTCTGCATCAGCACCAACCAGAGTGAGGTCTCATGGCCGCTCGTCCAAGAGGCCCCCAGCGGTGGTCACGCCAGCCCCCCCAGCCACTCACCCCACTGCCCAAGGGGTCCCCCGTGAGGCCCCCTCCCCACTCCCACTCACCCCGCCCCAGCCCCCGCAGGAAGTCTCCCTGAGGGCAGGGGCCACACTCTGAGCCCCTGACCCCCTGCTGGAGTTGGCGGAACCTACTGGATAAAGCTGACCTGCCCCCCACAAGCGCCCGGGGCTCAGTCCTCAGGCTCCGACCTCAGGGGAAGGATCCCCCATGTGGAAGTGGAGTCCTGGCAGCTGCAGGACTCTGGGGGTGCTATGGGCCACCTGGGGTGCCAGGGAGGGCCTGGGGGGCTGCACAGGGAGGGACCCAGGCCTTTCGTGGGTTCCCTGGGGTCTAGACCTAGAGCCAGAGGTCAGTGCTGGCCCGGCGGCACCAGGTGAGAGGCGCTGGCCCAGCCCCTGACCCCCCAAGGAACGGTCCGGTGAACCCCAGCCCTGGCTGCCCAGGGGGGCTGTGTCTGGCCAGAAAACCTGGCCTGGCCCTGCATGGGGCAGCCTCACAGTCGTGCTCTCAGGAGTCAGGTACGGGGGACCCCGGAGCACAGGAGTTTCTTGGGGAGAGCTGCCTCTGGGCACAGACGGCTCCCTTCCTGAATGTCGGTCCTGAGGAAGTGGCCTGGGCCCGTCAGGCAGGACCAGGGACAGGTGCTGGCCCAATGAGCGCCACCTCCATGGCCTGGGCCCTCCTGGCCTTGCCCAGCAGGCTGCCTCCCAGTCTCCGGGGGCCTCCGAGGACCCAGGTCTCTGGGAGCCTTGGGGATGTGCCCCAGGCCCCGAGCCACTGGACAGGCCTTTGTCAGAGGAGGGACAGTGGCTCCTGGCTGCAGGGCCCACCTCTGCGGCTGCACCTTCCCGAGGGCTCCTGCCAGCTGCAGGGAGGCCCCAGCGTGGAGAGTCGGGGTGCTGGCACGATGGCAGGCAGGGAGCGAGTGTCTGGGTCTGCAGGGATGGCCTCCCCTGTGGGACGTCCTGCCCTGGCACCCAGAGGACACCTGGCACCTGCCCCAGCAGGGACAGCGAGAGGCAGCTCTGCAGACCCCCCACTGCAGACCCCCCACTGCAGACCCCCCACTGAAGAACCCCCTATGAGCCGCTGCCAGCTCTCTACGGGTCCAGGGAGGGGGAGACATGCAACTCACACAGCAAGGGTGGGACTCACGGGGCAGGACGCCCCAAAAGGCTCTGGTGGGGGGGGCGTCAGGCTCCAGAAGGGCCCGTCCAGGTGCAAGCTCAGGGAGACAGGCTTCCCGTGCTCCTTGGGCAGGTGGCTTCCCTCTCCAGGCCTCAGTTTACCATCTGCATCATGTCCTCATGCTACTGAGCCCTAGTTCTTTGGCAAATACTTTAGAGTCACCGTTTATGACTGCAGACCAAGGGGCCCGGCGATCTGCGCATTGCCAGCGCTGGTGTGTGGCCAGCGAGCCCGTGACCCCCCCACCTTGCGCGGCTGTGGGAGGGGTGGGTGGGGAGGGCCAGCCCCTCCCCGGAGTCCTGCTCAGGTGGACAGCTTCGCCCAGGCGTCTCCCGGTTGCCGGGGCGAGGGGAAAACCGCTTCCAGACAACAGCGCTCCTCAGTGCCCATGGCAACGGGGTCCTGGACTCCAGTTTCCAGGGAAACCCAGCCCTCAGCGTCTCGGTTGCCAGAGCAACGTCCATGGGCTCGCTTGGCCACGCGGTCACCAACCGAACTCGGGGCAGCGGGGCACCCAGGCTCGGGAGGACTCGGGACAGCAGAGCCAGGTGCCACGCAGGCGGGGCCGCACGCTGAGGACCAGCCCGGCCGGACAGGTGGGAGCAGGAGACTCACCTGCAGCCGAGCCCCGGCGTTCTCTGGCCCGAGATGAGCTCTGCCTCCAGTGAGCCCGGCGAAGGGAACGCCCTCCCGCAGTCCCCGCTGGGGCTGGACGCCGTGATCCGGGTCAGTGGGGTGGCCGGGGGCTGGACGCCATGACCGGGTCAGTGGGGTGGCCGGGGGCTGGACGCCGTGACCCGGGTCAGTGGGGTGGCCGGGGGCTGGACACCGTGACCCGGGTCAGTGGGGTGATCAGGGGCTGGACGCCATGACCCGGGTCAGTGGGGTGGCCGGGGGCTGGACGCCGTGACCCAGGTCAGTGGGGTGATCAGGGGCTGGACGCCATGACCCGGGTCAGTGGGGTGGCTGGGGGCTGGACGCCGTGACCCGGGTCAGTGGGGTGGCCGGGGACTGGACGCCGTGACCCGGGTCAGTGGGGTGGCCGGGGACTGGACACCGTGACCCGGGTCAGTGGGGTGGCTGGGGGCTGGACACCGTGACCCGGGTCAGTGGGGTGGCCGGGGGCTGGACGCCATGACCCGGGTCAGTGGGGTGGCCGGGGGCTGGACGCCATGACCGGGGTCAGTGGGGTGGCCGGGGGCTGGACGCCATGACCGGGGTCAGTGGGGTGGCCGGGGGCTGGACGCCGTGACCCGGGTCAGTGGGGTGGCCGGGGGCTGGACGCCGTGACCCGGGTCAGTGGGGTGGCCGGGGGCTGGACGCCATGACCGGGGTCAGTGGGGTGGCCGGGGGCTGGACGCCGTGACCCAGGTCAGTGGGGTGGCCGGGGGCTGGACGCCGTGACCC